CCTGCAACGCGTGTCACTGACCTGGAGGGCAGTTTCTTGCCTGAAGAGAGAGAGAGAGAGAGAGAGAGAGAGAGAGAGAGAGAGAGAGAGAGAGAGAGAGAGAGAGAGAGAGAGAGAGAGAGTACGGGCAGTGATCTGTGATTATGGGCCTGCACGGGCCTGTCCCGTTCACCAGGGCAAAAACGGAGCAGGCGTTGACCTTCGGAGGGAAAAAAAGGTCATATTCGAATACAACAATTTTCTCTTTGTGAAATTCAAATATAACACATGTGCGTATTGTTCGAATAGAACACATATGCGTTATATTTGAAGTGCCCTTGTATTCGAATAAAAGGGTCTAACTTTCCAAAAACCCGTTTTTTTGGAAAACTCGAATACAACGCATATGCGTTATGTTCGGGGTAAGACGGTGGTAGCCAGCCTCTAGAGCAACTGGACTTAAAAAAATAAAAATTACAAAAATTACAAAATTAAAAACACATTTTCGCCGAGTCTGGCAGCTTCAGCCCTGCGTTGAGCCGAGGTGCGGTGGAAAATTGTATGGGATCCGGGGGCGGCTGGAAATCATCACACAGAGCCAGTTATGTGGCACTGTGGCCTGCCCTGGGTGGGAAGACAGCTCGCTCATCTGAAAAGGATAGGGGCATGCTGATGGAAGTGGCATCCAGACAGTTACGGAGAGCAAGAGTTGGACCCCACAGGGATGCAGAAAGGAAGAACTTTTCTGCGAAACTGCTTCTGGGACCCCATAGGGGGCGGAGGACCTTGTGGCAAAAGCGAAATGTCTTCCAAATAATGGTTTCCGGGACCCGACAACCCGCAGTTTATGGCATGGAAGAACACATATGGCCGTTTTCACATCGGCCGCGGTGTGGAAAAGTCGCTCAGGAGGACTTTTCGCCGCGATTTTGTGCCGAAAGTCGACAGTGAGGGAGGGAGCGCACGGGGTACTTTCCACGGCCGCGGCCACCGTCTGAACCAGATGAGGGGGCATGGCCGTTCCTTGGGTCCACCCCATGCCTTCTGGACATTCGGCCACTTTCCTTTCCGGGACGCTGGCCGGTGACTTTTCCTGTTACGGAATATCAGTTGCGCAGTTTGCCGCAGAACTCAGTCCGCTATGGGGTCCCAGCAAACCAGTTTTCCACCTTTCCAAAATTGTTCGGCCGCTTTTTATGGCCAGATGTTTTTTCCATTCCTTTTCCTGTAGGGTCCGACCCCAACTCAGGGAGAAAGGGAGTGTGTGTGTCAGATTACCTTAGTACAAACAAAGAAGAAGAAACAAACAAAAACATACGTATGTGATTGATGGCGGTGTTAGGGTCCCTCTCCACTGCGCACCAAATGTGCAAAATGAGATTGAATATTCCCCTAGACATGAAAAGATACACTGCCATATTTTCTCTGTTGTGAATGTATTGAGTAGTAGAGTGAGGCCCTGACTCACATTAGATTGAGCAAGTGTGTCAGGTTAGATTCGTAAGAACAAAAAGAGAAGAAAAAAAAAAACATACATAGCTGATTGATGGCGGGGTTAGGGCTGGCATTTTATACTCACCAAATGTGCAATATGAGAATGAATCTTCCCCTAGACATGGAAAGATACACGGTGGTGAGTGTGGAGCGAGGCCCTGACTCACATACGTACGTGATGGGGGATAGGGCCCCGCTCCACTAATCACCAAAGGTGCAAAATGAGAATGAATGTTCCGCTAGACATGGAAAGATGCACCGTCATGCTTTAGTATGTTGTGCATGTGGATGTTATTGTGGTCTCATACATCCAGGTCCGACCATGCATTTGGTGAGATATTAAGGGCATTGTTAGACACTCCTCGGGGACGTGAGATCCACAAGGACGCGCTCGTTCCACCTGTCCTTGGGGACAAAATTGAAAAAGAGATGTGAAAACGCCACAAGGAATTTTCCTTGTGGCGTCCTTGTGGCCTCAGCAAAAATCTCCTTATGCCCACGAGGTCCCTTGGAGCTCTTTTTTTTTTTTCTTTCTAAACAAGCTCCATCTATTGGTGGGGAGCATCACCCGCTGGAAACCGGGTCCAGCGTCCCATAGACACAACCGTATCCTCACAATTTGGCACGAACTGGGAACCGGGCCGAGCGTCCCATAATGAGCACGTTCAGAACAGTCATTAGAGAATTCCATGAAAATGAGACTAGGAGCCTACCCAAAAGAAGTAGAATTTTGAAAATTGAGCTCAAGGAACCGTGATTCATGGAGTGGCGAAGACATGCGTCGGCGGAGAGTTTCGGTTCTTGGGTGGTGCAGATGTGGTCCAACGGCGTTAGCACGGACATCCCCACCCTCCAACGTAGTCCCCCAATGGCTACTGCTGGCAGTGGGCCTCCATCGGGTGGCGTCGTTGTTTTATGCAGGCATTATGCAGTCTCCCGCGCTCGAGGAACGTCCGCAACGGTAGGGAAAATATTTTTTCCTGGCGGCGCCTTCAGTCCGTCCACGGAAGAGGTTTCTTCACGAGCGTCGTATTCCCACGCGTGTCGTCACGTGCTGCAGCGACAAGACTCTTGCCTTCTCCACCGCCGTGTGCTAGATGTCCGACAACAGACATGGCATTGCTGCCCTCTGCACCGTGCAGTTCATGGCCAACCTGCACCGCAGGCTCCCTCTGCTGCTCCACGTTGCAGTGCTGCTTCTGGTGGTCCCTCTGCTGCTCCCCGGCGCTGTGCTGCTTCTCGTTGAAGTAGTCATCCGTGGCGCCGTCGCATTGTCGAAGGTCTTCCCACATCCCCCCCGTCCTGCGTTTGATCCGCCACCTCGGTGTTGCTTGTGGAACGATGCCGCAACCCAACGTGTAGCACAGCTCAATGACCGCCTCCGAAGTTTCCACGTAGTCAGGGCCTATATTCGCAGCTTGCATCAGCATCCTTCTTCTATGCGCGCACAACTTCTCCTTCATTTGTCCCAGCGCCCTCTCCTGCTGACAACGAAGAACAACGGTTGACACGGCCACCGCCACGGCTGCCCACTCAAGCGGTGTCAACAGCGCACGTCCGCGCTCTTCGCCGTCGTCCATCGCCATCATCTCCACAGGGATGGAGTCTCTCCACTACTGTCTCGATCCTCGCACCCCAGAGACGTAACCCGCTCACCCCCCAAGGAGAGGTCCGAGAAGCTGCCACCTTTCCGTGGATGTCGTCCCCCTAGCGGAGCTGCATGTGATGGCGCGGACGACGTGGAGGAGAATCTCAACGATGATGGACGGACCTGGTGCACTCACGTACACTGACCGGGAGGTGGGCGGAAGGGACACCGCCGCTAAGGCCGATTCAGCCCTGCACTGTCTGCGCGCCTCAAGCCGAACGTCGTCGTCGCCACCACAGCCGTACTTCAAAATTTGAATTTCAAATGTAGAGGGCCCCTTTTTTCATTTTATTTTCCGTGGTCTGCCTCATGCCCTTTCCCACCAGACGTCACTGGACCACGCCCTTTCCACACGGACAACGTATGCTGGACCACGGACACCCCCGCCCGCGGCCGCGTATTTTCGTATGAAAATGGCCGCGGGCAGGCCACAAGGAAACGTCCTTGGGGGACGTCCCCAAGGATGTGTGGAACGACGCAGCAAAATCCCTTGCGAGCCACAAGGAAAATTACTTGTGGCTCAAGGAACTCATAAGGAGTGTCTAACGACGCCCTAAGGCTCCCTCCAGTAATCATATGTGAAGAAGATAAAAAGATATGGTCACGGTGGTGTATCTTTCCCCGTTCCAGAGGAAAATCCATTCTCATGTTGTGTATGTGGTGAGTAGTGGAGCAAGGCCCACATTCACGATAGAGCTAGATAGAAGGTTAACGATGAACGGACGGAGGGAGGGGAAAAAGAACCGTGAACGGAAGGAAGGGAAGTAAAAAAAAGGTGAACCATTGCATCCCCAAAATATGTGGTTTACTTCCCCCATCAGACTTCCATGACTCTTCCGTACCCCCCTCATGCACTTTTCCTCCTGTGAGGCCAAGCACGTCCAGCTTCATGCCCCTCACACCTGAGGGAAAGAAGGGCGAACCATTGCATCCCCAAAATATGTCATTAACTTCCCGCGTCACACTGCCACGACTCTTCCATACTCACCTCATGCACTTTTCCTTTATGTGAGTCCTCCTGTGCGGCCAAGGATGTCCAGCTTCACCCTTTTTTTTCATTTTTTTTTCAAATACTACACAACAAGCTCCAATCAATTGGTGGGGAGCTGCATCTGCTGGAAAGCGGGTCCAGCGTTCCATATCCAAAAAATGTTTGAGAAATAAACCTGAGTAAAAAGAGAGCACTGCCTCTTCAGCCCAATCGAGGCCGCCAAATAATCGTACTAACGCTAGCAGCACTAATCCTTATAACACAAATAGTTGTAATTCTGACTAGCCTTTTAGTTCAATCAATCAAGGCATACCATTGGAGATCAACCATTGCCAATTCCGAGGGAGGGATCAGGGAAACATTCCGGGGATCTGAGAGTAACTCCTGGCTGAAGTGAAAACCAGTCCCTGAAGATGAGATGGAAGTCCCTTTTTACAGGTTCCCCTTGCTCTTCTTCTCCCGGCCATCTCACCTCACCCAAGCTTTCTCCTTCTGCTCCCCCCAACCAGTCTTGATTGAATTTTTTAATACAACTCAAAATATTTTTTTTTCTGTTGAAAATGTTGTAACTTAGTGTGAACAGATAACCACCGTGCCCGAATTTCCGTGTGCACAAATTGGACAATCAGCTCTGAAGTTTCCGTTCCTTCCAACTTCACCTCTTGTCTCTCATGGACACACTTCTTGTACCGAAGTACCCATACCATGCCTTTTCGACCAATTCGGGAAAATTTCCTCTGAAATTCTGAAAGTTGTATATCATTTGGCTCCCAGTGTCCCAAAAGGATGACTCTCCAGTCGCATGGCCAATCAATATCTGTTAATCCTCTCCACACACAGTCCCATCTTCTCCATAGCAGAACTGTGCCCGGGCATTGTAGAACCACACATGCTCAACATGCTCAATAGTCTCTCCGATCTTCTTAGTAGGAAAACAGATAAACATGATTTGCACCATGGAACTGTCAGGCCCCGTTGTTCTACCAACCAATCATTAGTGAGCAGGCATCTACGGATTATCGACCATTGTAAATGGAAAAACTTGGGCGGTCTCTATTTTAACTTATTAAAAACTTTTACATTTCGGATTCCTTGCACATTAATATTCAAATGTCTCACCCACCTATCCTAACCCTTAAGCAGCATTGGCTGGGGAGGGGAGGTCGATGGTCTGCTGCGCGCTGGATTTGGGGTCGAAGTTTTGACAAGGCCCGGTGGAAGAAGGCGATCGAAGGGGGGAAGAATGCGCAGAAGGGCACGCATACCAAAATGTTCGCAGCGCGCCATGAAACGAGAGAGCGCGCTCACGGGGCCGGGCGCACGGTGGGCGTTGATGGGCATCAATATCTTGAAGCGCGTGCCGTCGATAGCATTTCGGCGTCGCTTTGTGCCCCACCCCGGTTTTTTTTTTTTTTTTCGTGTTTTGTATTTTTTTTTGTTCTATTTTGTTTTTTCCGTTTTGTTCTTCCCTTCTTGCGTGTGTTTTTATTTCTTTTTTTTTTCCTTTTGTTTTTGGTTCTGCAAGGAAGATGAGCAATAGCGAATTCCAGAACTCAAACAGCATCATATATGAGTGACCAAATAGCCATGACCTCGAACCATAAGCAGAATGGCATCACGAGTTATACCAAATAAGAACACAGCAATAGTTCACAATTGACAATGCTGAAATTGTCTCTCATCATCATCAATGAAGAACAAGAGTTG